ATTAAAATGCATGGGTAGCTAGGATACGTTAAACACAACACTAGCGACCACTAATAAGATCCGAATTTTAATTTTTGTTAAGAATTTACAGAAATGCTTCATCTGACACAACATGTGTATTTTTTGCAGGTGGTTTAATCTTTTCACAAGAACGCATTTTAAGGCGTTTACACAACACAACTTTTTGTTCAGTATATGGCTTTAAGATTTTATGAATTCAGTGAGTCCTCAGTAGTAGCATTAGAATGTTCCTTATTTCAGTGCACTAAGTGACATTGCCAACTAGCCGAGGAATCTCAGGCAGCCTAGACAAACGGCTTGTTTGGATGCTTTCATCTCATTACTGTAGTCTGGATCACTGATATTTGGGTGCTATCCCAATTTGCTGACAGTGTGTCATGATTTTAGATGTTCCTTGATTCTAATAACGTGAGACGGGACAACTTTTTTCTTTTTTCGCTTTTTGCGAACACAACACGATTATATTTGAGTCTCCAAAATTCATTTCCTTCCTTTTCAGCAAGACTTCTTTTTATATACTTCTTCCTAAAAAACCTGTGCGACATTTGTGAATGACGCGCTGAAATACAGTAGGTCACGAAAGATTTTAAAAATTGTCAGGAGTAATTGTATTCAATCATTTAAAATGGTTTCTTATCATATCATTTAATTTTTCGTCGAAATCCACTGCGATCAAAATATTGCACTCGAAACATGTTTTGAACAACCTCCTCTTCTTTAATATTTCAAGCAATTGTTTTCCAAATCTCTTTTTTAATATAGTTTAGGTGGAAAACACAAGTAGGAAGCTCAAGAACTGGGAGCCAGCCAAATAGTAGCTTGAAATTCTGAGAGGTTAATAGGAAAAATTAGTCCCTGGCATTGCAAGCTACTCAACCACCACTACGCTCGCTATAAAAAATGTGGTTATTGAGAGCTAGGTACTGCGCTGTAGACCCCGATCCGACTGTTAAATGCGTAAATAAACACGAGCTTTACACAAGTTAAAGAATTCGGGATGAGAAAACGGTGATGAAGTGTCGAATTACTTCGCTATCACCAAATTTTGAAGGTCTGATCTACAGTTCCGTACTCTAGCGCCGGTTTCATTTATTTCACTCTGTGCAGAATTGGGCTAGAATTTAGACTTGAGCTTATGCTTCCTTTTTTATTCAGGCGGTGGCGAAGTGATTTGGTGGCAAAAAAGCATCCTGCCGCCGCTTAAATATTCATTTCTTAGAAGTAAAAATGAAATTTAGAAGTGAAACACCATACCAAAATGAGTTTAAATCCATCTGAAAGCCAAATGTCTGCTAGGAAACGACGTATTTTTTAACATTCTGTTCGGGTGCAAAAACCACTCAAACGGGATAGCCGTCATCTGTGCGAATAGACAGGTCAGTGAGAAAACGAGCAGCTTTTTCTACGTTATTTGACAACCCACCTATCATGAGAGGAGTTAACGAGTTGAACAGTATGATCGCTGCAATTGTCGGTGAAATTCCGGCTCAGAATGTTAATCTAGTTTTCTTAAAATGCAGTTCTTGAGTTTAGCAGAATAGAACAGCCGTAATCTGAACTCCAAAAGCCCTACGGTTGGAACTAAGGTGACTTTTGCAGTACTGCGACTTGTCGTTCGCAAGGCCAATTTTAAGATAGAGGCAACAGAAACTTAAGCGGCTCTTATACCCGGGGTTTGAATGACGGTAAATACTGACCTGACTGGAAGCGAAGCATTAGAGTACAACAAGTGTGGAAGCAGTACGTCAACTGACTTGTGCAACTTCCAATACCGGATACAATAGGTACTAGAAACTAAAAAAAACCTAATTCTGATCACTTAAGCAAGGTCGACATAACTGTCAGTTGCAGTTAAGGACGCAGAAAATGTCATAAATTGACCATGAAATGGGTTTATTAGCAGATGCTTCAGGAATGTACACCTACATTATTACAATTTAAAATTAATACCGTGAATTGCTAGGCAGCTTACTTTTTTATTCAGCAACGCCAATGCACTCTGTGTTCATTCCTGCCGCTAAACACTAAAAAAAAAATTTACTCTAGAAAGTATAAATTGGATATAGAGAGACTGGTACTTGTTTTGTAGAATTTGAGACAAACATTAAGGTGAAAATCTGCATCTTAACTGAACAAGTGACTTTTACTTTGCAGTTTTGAAGGCAACAGATGCTAAAACGGTCCTTCTTTGCTTGAACTATTTCATTTTAGCCAAGGTCCCGTCGGACCACTCTCTCCCATCTTGTAAAGCTCTTTACTACACATATATTTTTCCACATCAAAGTGTATCTCTGCCAGTCTAGCTTCAACAGTAAAAGATATGCCGTTTAACACTTAGAAAGAAAACAGTAAAACAAAAGATAATAACAGACCTAATTTATGCAGTAGTTTAAAATACAAATTCAACTCTTTATCGAACACCCTACACCAACGTGGTTTTACCTGCAAAACTGGAAGGCCACTTGCAAAATGAAACATTTATCCTAATCTGCACTCTCTGTTTCGGTAATATTGGGGCAAGACATTGAAAGTGGCTTTTACTTTGTTGTGAGAGGGGACATAGGGTATTTGGTTTTGAGTCTGTAGCAGTCTGTCTACTAGTCGATAAAGTTTAACTAATATTTGAGTACTTGTTTATCAAGATAGTGTGGTTTCTTGCCAAAAGACAATACATATTTGCCTTTCCAGGAATTTGTTCGTTTACAGGGGCAGTGATTTTGCGGCGTCTTTACTGGCTTCCAATCCTGAGTGGTCGCACTAACAAAGTATGAAAACCGCAATGTCGCTCTAGTTTAGAAATGTAGAAAATTCTCAAAATACGCAAAAGCAAAAAAAAAAAACTTGCAGTTTTACTTTATTCTGAACGACGTATTTCATCTCTTTGCCAAAACAACCAAAAGATGACTGCAGTACTTGAATGTAAATTAAAAAACAAAAAATTTGCAATAATGAAATGTTTTTTTTTTTTATAATATTTCATATATGACTATACTTCAGCACAAGAAATAAAACTTTAGTTACGATGCATTTTAACCTTTTTTGACGCGCCACCGAACTGCATCTTTTAATCAATATAGAATCTGCAACAGCTGTTTTCCATAAAGTGTTAATTAACAATTAATGCGATAACCATAAAGTAACGAACCAGTGCTGAGTAGCGCTTTACGGTAACTAAACGTTCTTGGAGCATGATACGCGTAAAGTGAAAAAAAAGTGAGAAAATAAAGAGCTGCAATTTGAAACTTAGCAAAATCGCAAGCAAACCAGCTGATTGGTTAATAATGCAAGTGGAAACAATCAATTGCGCTTACATTAAGAGTCACAAAAATTTGGTCTCACAAAACAACGAAAAGGAGAAGACAATGAGGTCGGAATTTTGGACTAAGGAGACTGTCTATAGCCACGACAAGTAGGATACACGAAAAGTGAAAAAAAAATTGAGTAAATAAATAATTATAACGTAAAATTTAGCAGTACAAGATTTATGGACAGTCATAAAAGTGAGTGCCTGCAGAAATGAAAATCGCATGATAGAACTGTTCAAATTAAAACCTCGGTGAGTTACCGACTAACTTAATGTAGAATTGAAAATTCCAAAGCATTCTGAAAATCATGTTCGAAATAAATTTGTTGAAAAAAGTAGCTATTCGACAACTACAACAACAGAAATAAAAAAAACTAGAAAGAAACCGTGCGCCATGAAACAAACGGTGTAAAAATGCTTTAAAAAGAGCCGTAAAAATAAACAGTGTATCGGAAATAAGCCGTTTGCTTTTTAATGAATATAAACGATGCAGTAGGAAAGCTCTACAGAAAGCTACATGACAGAAAAAGATAGAGCAGAAAAAATTATTAACTTAGACACAGAGCTTTCAGTGGCAGCAGCGCAGCAAATATACAGCACCATTCTAGAGCAGAAAACATACAAATTGAACATATAAGATGAAACAATGCAACGTTGCGTCATGCCAAAGATCAACCGTACTCGAAAGATTATATAGAAAGTACTTAAAAAATATGAGAAATTTGCAAAATCACTCTGGTTTATAGTTACCCGAAT